TCTTAAATGTATTATAAATTTTTTATATATGTGTTGGGGGTAGTAAGGGTGTCACAATTAACATCACTTCAAAGCAAACCCTCTCCAAAGCCCAATCCCCTCGCTGTTTTGCAACCACTTCCAGGGGGAGATTCAATGGTTACGACTTGAGCGACAATGGCGTCACGAGAGACGTCCGCGAAAAAACCCTAACGGAGAACACAAAAGTGAAGATTGAAACACATACCTCTTGGCGAAGACGAGAGACGTGAAGACTGAAGCACGACAAAGCACGACAAAGCTGAGACGTGAAAACGCTAATGGTGAGCCTGAAAGCACAACAAAGCTGAGACGTGAAAACTGAAGCACGAGAGAGAAGTTGAAAAAGTGGTGAACCTTTAAGATCGTTAGTAAAAGAACCGATTTTGTATATACATACAAAATCGGTTCTCATAAGACCGATTTTAAAAATAGAAACATTGCATACTTTTTTAAATCGGTTATTCTAAAACCGATTTTGTATATCATATATAAAATCAGTTCTAAAACAACCGATCTAAAAAGTAGTAACAAAATGGACCTTTTAAAATCGGTTAGATAATAACCGATTTTAAAATACCCTTTAAAATCGGTTAAAAATGAACCGATTTTAAAAGTTGTGATTTTAATTACAAAAATGCCACCGTCCCTCTTTTAAAATCGGTTCTCCTTTAACCGATTTTAAAACCCCGATCTTAAAAGCTATTTTTGCACTAGTGAATAAAATTGTGTTTTAGTGCCGGCCTAGAACCAAAGTTAAACAAAGATAACCAACAACAAAATGATATAAACACTAGGTTTTATGTATCTCAACCACATGTACAATGCAAATTTGTTGAGGGGTGATGTTATTAGTATTGACTTTATGGTCAATATTACATAAAGTTGTGTTGGCTTTGTGGTCAACGTTAATTAGTATTGGATTTATAAAAGTGTGCACGTGCATGTATGTGTGTGTGCCTATTGGAATGTATGTGCATTTGTATGTGTAACACCTCTCAAATTTGATGCCTTAACAGTTTCCTTTTACGATACTTCATATGGTGATTTCATATAACTCCTTTGGTTGAACTCTTAACTAGTCAAAATCCTTTGTGAGTAATCTTTTCTGAAATGTTTGTTTTTATAGTCAACAATTGACCCGACAAACCATACATTCAAGCATATACAGATCAAACTTCAAGACAATATTTAGAACCTTCACACTTAGAATCAATAGTTACAATCTATTTAAAAGACTGAAGTATAATAAATAGAATACAACCAACCATGCATTCAAGCACCTCCCCTATGTATTAATACTCCAATAAAAACCCATTCTCCATTTGTCTCTGTTGGGGGCACTCGAAAAATATATTTTAAGAAACCACTCGAAGAAGAGAATGATGGAGGGGGTACCTACCAAAAGAGAATATCAGAAGCTATTAGCATGCATATTCGAGGAGTGCTCGAAAAATGCAAGAGAAAGTTACTGGAGGTTTTAGTAGTTACACCAAGTTGGTTACTAAAGATCGAGTCGAGGAGATAAAAACACATAGAGGAGCAGTTACGAGGAGTTACGCTCAAACCACGTGGTTCACATAGTGGACAGTGATTATACGCCCACGATGAACCATCGCAAGATTAACTGCCACGATTATCTCAATAAATAGAAGAAGCAACCTCATGCACGTGGTCGGAAAATCATACTTGCATTCTCATAAGCACTCACTGCCTGCTCACATGACTTTCGTGCATGGAATTGCTGGGTATGACAACTTCTTGGCCATATTTTCTTTCTTTTCTAGGATTACTTTAGTTTCGTTTAATTCCATAGTGTAGTTCGCAGTTCATAGTTTGTTATCACTACTACAAGATGCATATTCTACATCGGTTCTCTAAAGTCATCTACATCGATTCTAAAATCGATTTAAAATAGATCGACTGAGAAAATCTATACATGTTTACATCGGTTCTGAAAAATCGATGTAGATTTAAGCATAAATCTACATCAGTTCTCTAGACAACCGATGTAGGTTTAAGCATAAATCAACATCGGTTTTCTTGAGAACCAATGTAGATTGCATTTAAAAAAAAATCATGCTTATTTTTGGATTATTTCTTATTACCTGTAATGAACATATATATAGCTTTAGAAATTTGTTTACAAATTACACAAAAACAATTTAACACGTTCTAATTAGACACATGATTTTCTAGCACCAAACAGTAACATACAAAAACTTTAATTGCTAGAAGATCAGTCAAACTAAACATGATGCAACTAAAATAACATTGATTAAATCAAATAAAAAACATAAAAACCCAATCCAACAGCACATGATAAGGTAGTAAACTAGAAATCCACACCAAAGCAGCATATTGTTTCTACAAAATTTTAAGATTGTAAGTTAGGATGTATGCATAGATAAAACAATGGATGAATCAAAGCTGCAAACCATGAACAAAGAAATAAAAGTAATCAGTTAGGAATCAAAATGCAAGACCTGCTTCTTTGCTTCACCTTCTCGCATTAGGTTTCAGCCATCACTACCAACAAGTTTAAAAACTACACTCCTGGCATTCAAAAAGAAACATCCATGAAATGCTAAACATGACAACATCATACATATAATATGATGGCACTTAAGTAACAGTGTAAAAATGGAAGAGATACAGACATTAAGATTTCATATATAGATTCAACCTATAAGACATTGTTCTTATTTTGATAGAAAGGATTAAACAAGTTTTTAAACAAAAATATGCACACTTTAAAGACGTTATAGTAACTAGAAAATCTCACCAATAGTACCATAAATCCATTGAACTTACATAAATGCAACCTTTGACAACAGCACGACGACAAAAAGCTTGTGGTAATTCTCCTTCACCACAAATAGGATATAGCAAAGCCCCAGGAGCATTGGGAAATCTGGGTGAAACAAGATTAAAAGTATCTCTTAAAGAAAAATTAAACAGGATTCCTTAAATAATTAAAAAAAAAGGCAAGTGCAATACATGAAACAATTAGAATAAAAAAAATACCTTCCAACAGATGAGCTGTACTGAGCTAAACGATCTATTCCATCTTTTGTTTTAAGTAAATCTTTACAAACCTCATTATTGTCTTGATCATAATCTACCATGGCTATAGCATACAAAAGAATCCTGTGGAAAACAAAAAGGCATTACCTCAGTATACTTAACTGGTAAACAGGTTATGCTTGCATTATATATGGTTTTAGTTGACACACTTTATTCACCTTATTCAAACAGTGTCGATGAAATATGAAAGAAATAGTTATCCCCCTTGCAAAAGATGATGATCAACTTCACTTATTCAAAACAAGTATACCTAATCCCCTGTCAGACTGTTTAAGCACACACATCAAACAAACTGAGCACTACCAAAGATTTCAAAATTTCAACTATTTTATCCAATTATCAGATTTCACTTACATAGAACATAAAAAGCAACAGCTTCAGGGGGAGAGACAATTAATATAATTCAGACACTAGGGGGAAAATATCAAAAGTGTACAAGAGAATACTCTAAAAATGACAATGAAACATAAAAGTACAGGCAATAAAATTAAAATATCAAACTAGAAACTAAAAATTTCATTGCCAAGCAAGAAACAAAAGGCAGAACAATATTTTCTTCTTCTTTTGTTAAAAATTGTAAAATGCTAAAGAACTAGTGCTGACTGCCAAGTGCAATCTGAAGTGCAGAAACTTCCACCTCCAACATGTTGGTAATTAATGGGTGAAATAACACCCTTATCCACTCATATGAAGATCTTAAGAAATTACAATACGAGTAAAAATGTTCTGAATCAGAACGGGAACAATGAAATGCCAAGTGAATCCCCTATGATTAAGATTAATAATAATGCGCAGAAAGGAAACTTAAATCAAATCTCACTAGGAAATAGAAATGGTGAGTACGATTTTATCTTAGGCGGCAACTTCATCTTCTCCAAGAAACTAACAAACGGAATCTCCAAATCCTCCTTCGAAATTTTTTCCTCTTGAGTATCGTCCAAGTGCTTTAGAATGAGCTTAAAGAACCTCATCAACTGGTTCTTCGCCTTCAGCGAAAGCTTCTTGTCTCTGAAAATCTCCTCGCGAGAATCTGGCACGTTCAGCAAACCTTCGTTCGCCTCGTACAGCGCCCTCAAACCTCCCAAATTGATGTTGAATTTTGTTAAAAATAGTTAGGAATCAGATCAGCGTCACCACTCAGGCCACAACGACTCCGTGAGTGAGTCAAGAGGACAAACACACAACACTCCCACGTTCTTCAACTTTTTTCCTTCTTGTCACTTGTTAAAAACATTCAATCATCAACAAGAACACAACAGGGCTCAGAACTCTCTAAATGGGGTTCGCTCTCTGTCGTTGCTCGCGGCGGCTGGGGACGTTGCTGAGTGAAAGGGTAGGGCTCAGAACTCTCTAAATGGGGTTCGCTCTCCATCATTGCTTGCGGCGGCTGGGGACGTTCTGAGTGAAAGGGTATGCTTTAACCTAGCGTGTTCGCGGGGCACATATGAGGGTCTCACTTCTACATCGGTCATAAGCAAAATTGATGTACACTACAAGAAAAATGTAAATTTCTGACGGAAAATTTCCGACGGATATGGATCCGTCAGAAATTTTTGACGGATTTATATTTCCGTCGAATATTTTTGACGAAATTTTTCGTCAAAAATTTTCCGTCAAAAATTTCTGACAGAAATAAAAATGTCAGAAATTTCCGATAGAAACTTTCCGACAGAAAATTCTGTCAGAAATTTCTGACAGAAAAATAAATCCATCGAAAATTTCTGCCAGAAAATTTCCGACGGATTTATATTTCCGCCGGAAATTTTTTACGAAATTTTTTGTTGGAAATTTTCCGTCGAAAAAATAAATCCATCAGAAATTTCTGCCGGAAAATTTCTGACGGAATTATTCCGTCAGAAATTTCTGACGGAATTTTCTGTCGGAAATCTTATTTTTAATTTATATTTTTAATTTCTTTTTTTAATTTCTTATTTTTAATTTCTTATATATATTTGTAGTATTAAAAATTTTATATATCTTTTAAAGGTATAAATATATATTATAATTATTTATTACAAGTTTTTTATATCTACGATTAGTATTAAAGATGAAAATAAATTAGGTTATACTATATTTTATTATAATTTACTTGGTTTGAACCTAACTTTCTTTAAAAATATATATTTTAAGTGTGACTTATTTATCTATCATAGATAATTTTTAAATATTTGGGTAGAACTACAATCATATAGACTTATTTTATAATAATTTAACACTATTAAAAATATAAAAATCTATATGTTAAATTTATAAAAATAAAGTTTAATTTATTTATGATATAAATATGTTTTTAATATCTAATATATATTTTTAGATGATAATTTATTTTAAAATATATCTTATAATAACAATTCTAAATGGAATATAAATCTTATGATTTTTCTTATTTTGATTTTTTTAATCAATGTATACAATTTTACTATTTTGATTTTTTCAATCAACGTATACAATAAATAAAAAACACAAAA